AAGTGCATTCCTAACCTCACATAAGCACAGGCAATGCAGATGCATAACACTGCATCTTTCTGTAACAGGAGCTGCCCCTCTGCACCATTGTCACTACTTCTCTCCTCTGCTCCCTCTGCCATGACCAAGCAAGTGACACATCCCACTGAACTTTCCTTGTTAGTGGACCAGGGCTAACTTGAGCAGGGCCTCAGCTCCTGCTGTCTCCACAGGGCTCATCTCCATGCACAGACACATTCATCCCCATGCCTCACTCCCCTCTCTGTGCCCAGCTATCAGCCAGCAAAGCCCAGGGCTCCACTCAGAGCAAGCAATGCCAGGACAGCTTGCTGACAGCACCAATGAAAGCTGCCAAGGCACAAGCATATACAGCCCCTGAGTTCAACCACCATGCGCAAGCACAGAGAGCTCAAGTGCAGGGACAAAAACTGGCACCCTTTGCCACAAGCGCACACCATGGGACACTCATGTCCCGGTCCGGCTGAGCACCATCACCTGCCAGCACTGACCACCATGACCTATCTTAGTCTCTCCCATGGGTCACACCCCACCACCATGGAGGTATCACAGCACTGGGGGAAAGTCACAGCAACCACAGGACAACAACCCCACCACAGCATGCCACTGGCCCCCCTCCTCCCCCACACAGCCCACTCCTACCTGACCACCATGTCTGCAGCTATGAGTCCACTCAGCTGCCTTCCCTCCTGCTGCCCCTTTATAGACTCCCCGTTCCCTGCCTGGCCACAGCTGGGAGCCCCAGCTCAGGTGCAGGCAGGTTTTGGGCAGACCCCCTCCCCGCCCAAGCTCAGCCCTGCAGAGTTTCAAGGGAAGGGGCAATGTTTGCAATCAGTAGGAGGTGGATTTAAAACACTAAAGGAAGCTCATTTTTGTTCATGGGCAGCAAACCCCAGTGAACCCCCTGCTGCCATGGGCTCCGGGAGCAGACGGTGCTGGCAGCTCCACAAAGGAGCTGGACGACACCAGGGACAATAGACCCATTCATAACTGGAGGCTCCAGGAATGGCTGGGATGTACCCTCCAACATTGTTAATCCAGCAGCCATGGTTGCTTGGAAGTCTGAGGGAGTTGGTGCAGAGAGGGGCCTGATTTGCTGAGGCTCCCCAGGTCACCCATCCTCTTGCTGCCCTTTGCTGCTGCTGCTCCTCTTTGGGAAGGGGAGAGGCTGAGCGGGGTCACCTGAGGTTTTGTCAGGTCATGGATAAATGGCCTAACACAGGCAAAGCACACAGCCTTCACAGCAGCTTCAACCCAACACCTGTATCAGTGGCTTATGGAAAACAGCATCCAACCCAGTGACAGCTTGTTCAGCACTGGGTTTCCTGATCTTACCTTTAGGAAGGAGAGTTTCATTCCATGAATGTGCTGCCCCGTCTTATGGCAGGCGGTTTCTCCACAGCTTGTTCAGGAAGTAGCTGGCCCGTTCCTGCACTCGCACACCGTGAGACCCGGGACCACTCGCCTGTGGCTCCTTCCTGGCATCCGCCAGCCTCCCATGGCAGCCACCCATGTCCTCTACATGTCCCATCCATGTCCTGCTGCTCCACCCCAGGTTCCTAGCTGTGGCTATACGAGGAAAGCCACTGCAGCAGTCCCTCAGCCCCACCAGCCCCACAGGGGCTGCCCTGGAGGGACAAAGGATATCTGAGGGGTCTGTGATGGGGACATGGGGTGGTGCCGCAGGGGGAACTGAGAACCTGATTCACTGCAGAAGGGGTGATTTGGGGAAAGAAGTAAAATCTGGAAGGCTATTCCTAAAGGACAAAGGTGACCATAATTGTCACTGCTGCCTGAGTGGACACAGAACAAAATGGCAGCTGAAGCAACAAGGGCTGAGGGGGGAACCCAGGGGAAACTGAGGTGGGTGAGCTGACACTGGCACAAGCTGCTCATGCCAAGGCCAACCAGAGAGCAGTAAGAATGGCTTTCTTTACGAAGGGCTCAGTTAATATTTACCTCTGCACAAGCAGCAGGACAACCTGCTGTGCTCAACAGCTGTGCACCCTGCCATCCAGCTTCTACATGGGCTCTGCCTGCTTTCCACCTTCTAAAAGTGATCACAAGGGCTAGAAATGCTCAAAGGGTGCTCACAGGTGCCTGGGCCAGTCTGGGAGCTGTAAAGAAAGAAAGAAAGAAAACGTTACTAACAGGAAGAAGGACTCTTGTAGAAAAGGGATTTCTCTGCATGGAATTCCTCCTAATTTCCTACCCGAAGGCAAAAAGAGAAACTAGCATCCCTTGTGTGTGTATGTGTGCATGTGTGTGTTCCGCTATGGTACCAGCAGTGGCTGAGGGGCTGACACAAAGCTGGAGAAGCACCTATTAGGGCAAGGCTTATGAGCAAAGTGAAAATGGCTCATGTAAATCCCTTTTGAGGCTGTTGGCCCCAGTGGCACGGGGCTGTAGAGCCCAGCCCATTGGCTCTGTGCATTGACAGGCACTAGGCTGGAGCTGGAAACCATGTGGGAACCTGGTAAAGGGCACTGGGGTAGCAGCGGTAGGGGGGATTTATGGAAAAAGTCACCTTTGCCTTTTGGCCCATGATGGGGAAACCATGGCCACAAAGACAGGTTGAACAAGGCATGGGTTCCCAGTCACTGTTAATCACAGCATTCACCTGAGGTGAGGTTTCACGTTCTCTTGGGCAGAGCAAGGAGCTGAAGGTGGATTTTGAGCAGTCCAGAGAAATCTGTGCCACCCCTGCTGAGCTGTGAAGCGGACATGGGGTGGGTCCTTGTCCTCCCACCCACCCTGGGAAGGTCTCTGGGGCATTGGAGTGGGGCAGGAGGCAGGTGATGCTGATGCTGGGCAGCGCAGACAGGCTGGCACATGAATCCCCTCCGCTCAGCATTTCAAGGCCCAGGAAGCTGAGGGCACACCCAGAAGCAAATGTTAGGAACCCTGGGAACTCAGGTGCTGGATAACTTCACAGGTCCAGGGCTGACAGCACATGAGCTGCTACAGGCTTTAAGGATGTCTGGTTTGCTTTTACGCAACATCTGAAGCCTTCAGGTAGGCATGGTCCTGGATTGGGACACAGCTCCCTATGCGATGTGGAAGGGAGAGAGAGCCCCAAGTATTTTAAGGCCAAAGAGCACTGTGACAAAGGCAGTGTCCTTATTTGTGGAGCAAAGCACTGAAGTTGAGCCCTAGAAACACTTGCCAGCAAGTGACTCAGACTCATGGGTGCCTGTGGCACAGCATCCACCCTCAGGACGAAAGAGATGTGAAATATTCCCTCTGATCAGGCTCCTGGTGCTGTAGCAGCAGGGACATTCCTGCGCTGGAGACCAGAGCCAAGCACTGCCTCTGGCTGTTCCTTGGCCAGATGGGGAAAGGTGCTTCTCCTCTCCTGACCCAGTGAAGGACCTCCAGCAGTCCCTCCAGCCAGGCAGTCCAGTCCCTGTTGTGCCAGTGCTGCTGCCAGCAGTGGGCCAGAGCAGCAGGCAGTGACAGCTCGTGTGGTTACACTTGAAGACATTGCCTGTGATTGGAATAAAATCTGCACACCAGGAGTCAGGGCTGTGTTCCCATGCACAAAGCAGCAGGAATGGCATCAGCCACTTAAGGTGATAACAGGTGTTGCTGATGAAATCCCCACAACGGTTCAGTACTTTTTGTAATGTGAACTAAGAAGCACTGGTGTTTGAAATGCTGAGCCTAAAGAGCTTGTTCTCTGAAGATTTCACCATCAGGGAGGTAACCATGGAAAGTACTAAATAATTAAGTACTATTGAGGGTTGCCCAGTAACTGAGAGTGCAATAGTCTATTGCTTTTTCTGTGAGCTTGTATTTGGGTAAATATTTAGGCTTTTAAAGCTTTAAATAACAGTGGACATTGCACAGGGACACTCTGTGCAAAGCCCTGGACTATGTTTACTCACAGATGGTCTATTACTTACAGGGTCCGCTAAAGGCATTTCAGTCCATGCAGTCCTTGTGCAGGTTGCACACAAGGGTGGTCTTTGGGTTCAGTGGTCAATCAGTCTCTCCTAGGACTGCGCTCGTGAAGATTGGCTTCTAAAAAACCCCTGGTCAACCACTGCTCTTGTCCAACAGGTGTGAGGCAGTGGTATCTCAGGCTGGCTTGGATTGCTTTGTTTCATCACAGCCAGATGCTTTTGCTCATGCTTTGATTTTCTTTCTTTGTGGGGCCCAGATTAGACTTTTACTGAAATCAGGATGGTAAGGCTTCAAACCAGAAGGGGGGGGGAAAGAAAGAAAAGGATGAAAACATTGCCTAGCAATGAGAAACACCCAGAGTCCAAGGTAAGAGCACTCGCTGTGAATAAGTGGGTATTAGTGCCTTGTGTTGACAGAGCAGCACTAAGTGGGCACCCCGTCTGGCTGCGGCAGCCGCTGATTGCCCAGCAAGCAGCAATCTAAACCAAATATTTCAATCACCGAGGCACAGAGATTGCCACTTGTGACTCCCCCTCCAGCTCCATCCCTGAGCACCACCGCCCCTGTGAGTGGGCAGCTGCTGTGCAGTGTGTCCGGGGCTGCCCCGCGGCACCGCACAGACCCTGCAGCTCAGGCATCATTAAAGGGATGAGCCGAGCACCCCGTGGGGCTGTCTGTCACGTCAGCGCTACCAGTTGGTTTTAGTGGTAGTGCTGCGATGTGCATTGGGATACAGTGTCTGATTTTTGTCCCTGGGAGATTTAACAGGAGATATGTTGTGGATAATGGGAACAAAATATTTAGATGGGCAATAGACATGTAAAAGAAAGGATGAGGGGGTGTGCATCACAACTCCTGTTCACTCGCAGACACCACGGGGCTCTGTTGTGGTACAGGGCTATTTGTGTCCGTTTGTCTGTCTCCCGAACTGCAAAATGATTCGGTAATGACCTGCCTGACAGAATGGTCACTTACCTCGCTGGGGTTTGAATCAATGAGCAAAAGAGATTTGCAAGACATTGTGTGATCCTTCACTGAGAGCCCCAGTAAGACAGCGCAAACACGTAACAAGGTGATACATTTCTGGCTGGTGGATACACCACCTTTTATTTATCTTAATCTGAAAACACAGCAGATTGGAATAAACAAAAAGCTGAAAAGAAATACAACCCCAGCGTAACTTCTGATTATTGGAAGGAAACTTAGTTTCATCATACCAATGTTCTGGTGTCCTGGAGTATGAACAATTTCATTGGATTTGTAAATACAGTCAGGAAATGTGGCAATAATAATTGTGCTGTCGTAAGAGAAGGGCAATAGTGTTGCTGAAGCCTTATAAGCAATGTTGAAGATTGTTAGCAGATGTGCTAAAAGATGTATTTTTCCCCGTATAAAAGATGAGGAGGGCCTTCTGCCTTAAAACGTTGTATTCAAAGAGAGAGAAATTATCCAGATACCAAACACAAAGGAGTAGGGAATTGCAGACCAAAGAGATATTTTTATATGCAATACTGTTTGCTTAAAATCGCATCATTTCTCAAATCCACATTTTTTCCCAAGGCCAGATATTGCTTCTGCAGCATGTCCGGTTGCTTTTTCTACCCCATCTTGTGCCACCTTGGAAGCCTTGTCAATAGCTGAAAGAGAGGGAAAAAGCTGAAAGCTGGAAAAATGCAACATGGTTTCACATTTGTGATGGAAGGGGGAGGTGTACAAATTATTAGACCGTAAATATTAAGAGATGTATCCTTTGAAAAGATTTTGGCAATGTTGCTGCCTCATCATGTAATGTCAAAAACTGCCCAGGCCTGACCTTCTCATCATGTCCATGGAGCTATAGAGAGTGTCTGCTTTAAGGAGATACTACCAACGTAATTTAGCTTTCATGAAACATTTTAGACCCCAAAGTTGCAAGTTGTCCCCTCATTCTTAGGGAATTACTAAACTTAAGTGAGAATTTAGCTTAGTTTTTAGTTTAACTTGTTCCCAATCCCCAGAAGTGAGATACCAACACTTTCCTGATGGCACCCTTCCAGCTGCAGGATCACTAATGTTTGACATTAGGGATGTCCTTTCCCTCATCAAGTGCTGGGAGCCAGCAAGGGGCTGGACCTGGACAGCCCCCTGCCCTCTGGGCTGAGGGTGCAAGATGAATCACAGGGTTACTTCATCCGCAAGAAAAGGAGAAAAGTTTTGTCCATGCTTTTCACATGAGTTTTGTAAGAGAAAGCCAGAAGGTGAACACCATGCATGAGACACAGTGGCCAGGAGAGTGTCAGCTTTTGTCTGCTAGTAAATGTATGGAGTTACCAAGCAATAGATCCTGGAATACTTTCCTACTAGATTTACAAAAGGCCAAAAATTGTCACTGAAACCAGGGAGCTTGAGACTAAGAATGCCCTGGGATAGAAGGGAATGAACACTGCCTGCTACTGGCGTGCTTGCTCCATTGCTTCTTGATTTGAACACCATTGCTCTTACCTTTCTGGCTTGCACCTGTAATCTGGTTGACTGCATCCTCAGTAGCCCGTCCCAACGTGTTTGCTGTAAGTAAAGACAAAAAAACCCAAGTTAATTTCCAGCTGATTACATTTGCGCTTATTGGAATTCCCTTTGCCAATTGGCTTTTCCGTGTGTCTGCAGAAGGTCATGCCCCTGGAAAGAGATAAGGCTGGTATGGAGCAGACTGAGGCTGTGTGCTTTGCTCGTGAGCTCCCTGGGAACTACGTGTGTTGCCACAGCAGCTTGCTATGAGATAAGCATTCACCTAGCACCTATAGTCAGCTGAGCAAATCAATGACAGATAAGAAGATAAAATAAAAAAAGAGAAAGAAGCAGATGTTAGCAGTGAGTCGGAATTACGACATTTAGCTGCAAGTTGCTTATTTTTACACTACACCTGCTTTTATTGATTTTTCTAGCTTATTGTGCTTGGCCATCTAGCATGCATCTTCTTTGCAGGCCATTTGGGAATAATGCCTTTTCCAAAATGGAAGCAAACAAATTAACCAGAGCAGGACAGGAAAAGATTTTACAAACAAGATATAAATAGAAGAAAAAGAGGAGCAGAAGCTAGAAACATAACAGATCAAATTCAGAATATAAAGCATTTAAAAGGGGAGAGGCCATGTAATTGTAAGATGTCTGATCAGTTATGAAAAAGTGAAAGCCATCTATTTATCACTTTTGCCAGAAGAAGTAGTAACCCCATAATGGCATGAATATATTCAGGGTGCAGTAAAGACTACTTTATTTTTCAGAACAGCGTACTTCATGTTTCTGGGTCTACTACGCATTTGCTCCTAGGTATATCGAAACTCACAGGAACTGAAGAAATCAGTGAGGTTACTCATATATTTCAGCTATACAACAAAGTGTTTATATGGTCAAAATGCAAGACTCTACCTGATAAATATTATTCCATGCTAGGAATGAGCTGTGCACAAAATACTCCAAGGAATATACTATAAAATGCTTGAATAAGCTATGCACATATTTCAATTTTTCATTTATGGAAAAAGCTATTATACTTTGCATTGAAAAGCTGGATTCCAATAATAATAATAATCATATAGTGCCTGGCCCTGCAACACGGGCATAGCTGTGACAGAAATGTGTGCATAGGTTTTTTTTACATCCTACAAAGTCTAGTGATCACTGCTGGAGAAGAAGACAACAGAAACAACCTTGTACTACTTATTACAAACAGTCCATCACAGTCAATATAGTTATTATCAGAACGCATTGATAGTCAGGTCAAGTAGCAAACATTAATCAAAGGTTGATTCCAACTTCAAGTACAGGTACATTCTTCACAGGTATTGGAACAGGCTTCCCAGGGCAGTGGTGGAATCACCATCCTTGGAAGTGTTCAAGAACCATGCAGATGAGGCCCTCAGTGATATTGTTTAGCGGTAGTCTTAGCAGTCTTGGGGTAATGGTTGGACTTGGTGATCTTAAAGGTCTTTTCCAACCTAGCTGATTTTATGATTCTATGATTCTGGAAAGGAGAGCAGTTTAAAAACCACTGCAGAGCACGAGAAAAGATCACCCTGAGCAACATAAATGCTAAATACAAAAGGTTATTACTACCAAAAAAGGCTTCACTTCCCTAACAACACTAAGTTTAAACAACTGCTTTGGGAGTGATAAAGGCTGGTCAGTGCTCAGCACCTGCTGAGGGAGCTGTGGTGGGTGGATGCCCATGCTGAGAGCTGTGGCCAGCCTGGGGCCTTCTCCAGGCAGCAGCCAAAGCTTGGTCTCAGCAACTAAAGGAAAAAGAGGAAGCTATATCCTGCTAGCACTGATGTAGTGTAACTTCAGATTGTGGTTTCTATAGGCAAAAGCAGCAGCTCAGCCTCCCACCCCAAACCCAGTGAAATTTAGTCTTTCTTACCAGCATCTTTAGCTGCACCTTCAGCCTGTTCCTTCAGTCCCTGGAAGTTTTTACCCGACATCGTGGCTTCTGATACCTGTTAACACTCCTCTGCTTCAGTAAGATGCTGTGCCTGGTAATGTATACCACGCTGTGAGGGGTGTCCTGATGTGTCCTGCTTTTATATATATGCAGGGAGACCTGCTGGTGCTTTTTGGGATGACTGGTACAATGGGTGGAGTTTGAATGTGAGGAATGAGAGCTGAAAACACACAGAGAAAAGCTGTTTATTTACCCTCCCCAGTGAGAGGGTGTGCCCAGGTAGAGATTTCTGCTTCATTGCACTGTCTTTGTGTATAAGTTTGTTTTATTTTTTAAATCAAACCCACAAAAGAACTTGTTCCACCATCACAGACAGAGCAAAAACGCTGAGCCGAGCTTCAGAAAGAGTGCTGGAAAACTACTGAGGTAGAATTGTCTGGGCATGGCCAACTTTCGTCCCCAACGTGCAGGTTTCTTCCTCTGTAAGCTGAACCTCCTGGGAGCAGAAACCAACCCAAACTTCTTTCAGTTTCCAGCAGTTTTGATCACAGTCCTCTCTTGCCAAGTGGGACATTGTCAGATGTGAGAGTTGATGTTTATACGTATTTTTATGAGAAGCTTCTAATCTGGTCATTTTTCCAGCTGCCTGCTGCAAGGTGGATTGCAAAAGCCCATCATGATTGAAGGCCTTGCTTGGGTTAGGCAGTGCCAGTGCTAGCAGCTCTCAGGGGAAGGGAAAAAAAGAGGCCAAAACAGCAAAGCTGCCGTTTCCTAATGTGGCATTGTAGTATGGTGTTTTTTTAGTATAGAAATAATGCCTGAAATACTTTCCTTACCTAGCACCACTGCATTAATAACAGTTCTGGCTTTAACCTCTGGCATTTCACAGGTTTCCACTAGCCTTTGGAATTTACGCTGTCTGCCACAAGTCCCCAGTACAAAGAAACTTTGTACAAATAAACTATTGGCAGAGTCACGGGCCAAGGGCTCTCCAGTTTCGTGGGGCTGGGGCTCCTCATTGCTATTTTCCAGTGTACAAAGCATCTCGGTTCAGATGGTTACACTCATACCCATATTCATCTTCCTGAGAAAAGCTTTGTGTTGAGAAATAGGCACAAGAAAAGATGCCATGGATAAACTGTGGGGGGAAGTGGCAGTTCTCACGAGTTTAGTTGTTCATTAGTACCCAAGTGAGGACGAGTTGCAGAAAACAAGGTTAAATGCATTCCTCCACTGCTCCTATTCAGCCTGTCATTTCAGAGAGCTCTTTTCAACTTTTGGACCACTGGCAGTGCTCATTAATTATTTCAAACAGCAATCCTCTTTCCCCCTAGACAGGTCAATTAGCATTTTAATTATATATATTCATATCAGGTATCTTTTTCTATTCCTTGTTGATTTCTTTCTCAGAATGTTTTTCTCACTTGGATTTGCAAAACCTCAGATATTAGACACACACTACTATGGGACTCGGGCATTTTTTTTACAAAACCACTACATGGACCTAATCATGTTTCTTGCCCAAACCCGAGAGCCTAGCAACAACAAAGCCATAGCAAATGGGTGGATTTCAGCTGTTCTCAGCCCCCTTAGCCAGATCACTGCCACCTCGATTAACCTTGTGCAGAGCGTTAGTTAAAGTGAGAAAGAGGCTCTCCAGCACCCACCAGGCACCTTGTCGTGACTCAAGAGAGGACATGCCCAGGCTCCAGCAGCAAACACCTTCTGGCTGCTCTCTCAGCTCCTTTCTACTGCTGTATTTCCATCTCGAGTGATGCTAACTAGAGTAGTCAGCTTGAAAGGGAGGAACAGAGTTCAAGAGAACATTAAGAACTGATGCACATTTATCCCGAGCATTAAACATATACCACATTATAGCAATATTTTAGAGACTCCTAAGCAGTTGAGATAAATACTGTTCTCTAATTCTGCTCTGACACCCACCTAGATTTTCCCAGTTCCAGATATTACTCTTCCAAGTTGAAATCTTTGTTGGGCCCTTTGGACTCAATATGGGTGTCTGAAAAGTGCCACTGCTTGCTTTGCCTCCTGCTGAAAACATTAAGCAGCACAAATTTGTGAGTAAAACCTACATCACTATCAGCATGGCAGCATGACTCCTCATGTAATGTAATCCTATTCTTAGCATTAATATCTTTATCTTGATTCCAAGGGGAAAAAAAGACCTAACAAAGAAAGCAAATTACACTTTCCCAGCAAATTGGTATGCTGTGGTCATTATAATCCAGCCCAGAGTAAAGGGAAAATGGACCTTTGGAAAACTATGTATTTATCCCATATGGTGGAACAAATAATCTGTGCATCAGGTGGCTCACATCAGAATATTAATGGCATGTATAGCATCTTAGAGTGCTCTGATATAAAAAGAATGATTGACCTGAGCAAAACCAAGGATCTGAATTTCAGCTGCTCAGAAATTTGCAGCAATTTATCTCTGAGTTTTCATTTTGTTCTGTTCTGAATATTGAAACTATTAATGTAGATGAGATCTACTCCTAGATTTTGTAAAAACTATTTGTCAAAAGTATCTAACCTTGTCTTGGCCTCTAGAGAGAATAGCATCATGAGAGAAACTTCGGAAAGCTTTTCTTGAGAAAACTGTTTAAGGCCTAGTAAAAGTAAAATAGCAACTTATTTCTAATCATTGATCCATGAACTAGGTGAATTAACCATGTGGCTTTAAATTCATTCCTGTCTTGGTCCAAACTATACATTTTCTGGCTAGCATTTTACTGCATCTATCTGCTGACACTAGGTATTTGTGATGGGCTTCCATATCTTACAAGTGTCATGGTGAGCTTGTGATAAGCTGATGTCCCACTTGGGCATAGGCCTTTCCTGTGACTTCAGTGGGAGTAAACCACACTTGTGGCTGCCCTGGGAAATGAGCGGTTATGTTTCCAAGAAAGCCAGCTTTCAAATGTGTGGTCTTCTGAATGCTGTGTCTCCATTATCCTGAACATCTGGGTGAAAAAATGAGCATTTTCAAGAACACTTCCTCCTTGTGAATCCCAGTCTTTGCTTTGACTGTCTTGTGTGCTTCTTAATAGTCAGTCACCACTATGAGAGAGTATCTAACCATCATTTGATAGACCTGGCTGGCAAGTATTGTGGGATTGTTCATCTCAGTTTTGTCAGTTCTCAACTGTGTTGTCCCATGACACGAAAAGATAGGGGTAGGGAGGGATATTATGGAGTATTTTGAAAGCTAAATGCCAAAACACTACAGCTGGTTTGCTTTTTGTCTCTTGACATCTCCACAGTATTGCCTCAAATCTCCAGCCTATAAGTACCTCTACAGTTTCTAATCCTGCTCCTCCCATGCATTACCTTTTTCTGAAAGGGCTTCCTGGTCTTTGATTGCATCATTCGCTGTGTCCTAAGGTCACATCAAACCACCTACAGGCGGAAGTCAGTTTGAACTTTTGCTCCATTCAGCTCTCTGCTGAGACTGCAGGGATCAATCCTGGTTAATGCCAGCTGGGGTAGGTACCAGGGTGTGAAGGCAGAACTACATGCCCAGGTGCCCCTGGAATTTCAGGCTATTCTAAAAGTTACTGCACCTGGTAGTGTCAGGGAGCATCACTGAGCCTGAGATGTGAAAAAGTGTCACCACCCCAGCAGTGCTGCCCACCCACCTCTGACAGGCAACCTGTCTCACCAGCACCCTTCTCCCATATCCCATTCCTCTCTATATTCTGCACCTTCTCAATCTGTTTCCTGTGATGAGCAGTTGTGTTTGGGGGAGCAAAACTCCAAAAGTCCTTAATTCTTTAAGTGCTAGGAGGGCTCCAGAGCTCTAGAACTAGTCGGCAACTTCAAACATGTGGTCCAAATAGTTGTGAGTTAAATCTAAGCTACTGCAGGGAAATTAGAAATTGTTCTGATTTTCTTTCCTTTCACACCTCTTCCATGGCATCTTTGAGCACCCTCTCCTGTATCAGTAACATGAACCCTTCTGGTTTTATTACTTGAGGTGAGAAGTAATTGATCAGAGCAAGAGCTCATGTTTTACACATTAAAATGGGCAAACAAGGTTAATTAAATGGAAAGCATTGAAATTTATTTGGGCTTTGTTCAATCATAATTTTACGAGGGTTGGGATTTATGGATAGGTATGGTTTCCATCAGCAAGGTAAATGCAATGATGTGTCAGGACTGCAAAGTCTTACGTGGATCATTCCTGAAGTTATGGAAGTGTGAAGGGTTCCACATCCACAGCTGCTAAACAGCCTAACATTAGCATGGAAGGGATGTGATATTTACATCAAGAAATATAATTGTTTTAAGAAATAGAGTTGTTTGCCCATAAAAATATGTAATTGTCATAGGTTGTGTTTGTCATTTAAAAGATCAAACTAAAGTTGTTCTAATTAAGCTAAATCAGCCTTTCAGCTCAAATACTGAAACACAGTTCTGTGAGAAAAGTTGGTCTGACTGATTCTTCCTTTACACTGGTGGTAACGTTCTCCAGAAATCACTGGTCAGCTCTGCTTCAAAGCACAGGCTCAAAATAAGGCCAGTATATGTGGATTTCTTTACCTCCTGGTTTCTGAATCTTAAGGCAACATCTAGGTGTAGTGTCCAGTTTCTACCATCTTCTGGAGCACCAGAGACTAAACCCATGCTGAAATACTGGAATTCTTGTGGAGCCTCACAATGTCCTGCAACTTCAACGTTAGGAAAGAAAAAGAAAATTGTCTGATCTTTAAATTAGAAGGGGTGAAAAGATGAGAAAAGCTTGAGCACTCCTTAAGATCTGGCACAGGGTTAGGGAAAGAAATAATTGTTTCTATTTCAGGAGTGGTGAGAGAGCTGATGGCAAGGTCTATATTTCTAGGCACAATGAGAGAGACGGAGGTGCTGTCCTCTACCCTTATGGCACACAGGAGTGCTGCCCACCCCACCTGGGACTCAGCAGGAGAGGTGGAGAGGCAGAGTTACTGAGGTTGCCTCCTTCCTCACACTGGGATCCACTCAAAAAGAAAGCAGCGACAAAGCTTGACAGAGCAACTCTGTGCTGCCAACAGACCTGTGCGGTCGTGCAGGCTGGGGTTGGTCTCACATTTTAGAGAGCTTGGGTTTAATCTGAGCTCTTTCTGACAGGCTACCAACAGCACAGAAAAATCTTCTTGTGATTTGGTAGGTTTTCAATGCATTTATGAAGCAGCTAAGCTATATGAGAGTGTGTAATTGTGTATGTTTTTAAGGAGAACAGTATTGAAAGAAAAATGAGCCCTTCAGTTTTTAATTGGGTGATCTTTGAGTTCAGTTTTAGGGCAGTCATTATGCAGACATCGAACAGGACTTTCAGATGAAGTGGAAATTTGAGAAGTGTATTACCTGATTTGCATTTAAATTAGGGGAACACACATTGAGATATGCTGAAGAGTGTCACTGCTTTCTCTTCTGCATCCAGGACAAACATCTTCGAAAAATCAGGCCCTGCATGCCCTTTACCCCTTGGCTAAAACGTAATTGCGGGGGAGCTTTCAAAGGCTGTGAACTGTGGCAGAACAAATCACTTAATAAAGCTTAACTGCAGTTTCACATGTAAGTAAGTTTTGCTGTTACAAGGGCAAAAAACCTGTTCTTCAGCGCTTTGTTGGTCACTTGTATGGTCAAGTTGAGGCAACACTTGACAGCGGCTGTTCTGGCTCGTTAGATCACCAAGGAGGTCTGAGTGTGAGCACCCAAGTCACGTCACAGGGGACAGACTACAGCCCTGCTTTGCCTGGCACGAAGCACTGTCTCGTCACAGTGGGATTAAATTAACGGCTTGTAAGAGAGTGGTATCACACATACAAGGTCCACTTGAATAATTCACAGGGTGAGTCATATAACAGAAACTCTTGATTGCCCAGACCATGAACTGTCAGCAACAAATTATTTACTTGTGTTTGCCTCCATCAGCTTTTACCTGGGGCAGGGAGATTCCCAGTGCTTCTCTTGTGAAAGAACTTTCTGCTGTGGGATGTTTTCTGATGCATCTCCTCCATCCTTCCATTTTTCATTCTCTTTCCATCACCTGTCATTACACTTGTCTGGATACTCATTAAAACTTCAGATTTCTTTTCCATGTAGTGAACCAAACAGACATACAACAAGGTTGAAACAAATAATTTAACTATTAGATAATCTTTTGGCTCCTTTATGACAGACCCCTCTACTTCAGGAGAAACAAGTGTTCTTACCTTCAACAAAGGCTGCTCAGACTGGCAATTCTGCTCTCCCCACCTGGGTAGCAGGCAGTCTGGAGAAGGGATGGGGAGGAAACTGAGGCTCACTGAGCCATCGCATAGGCATAGCACTACCCCGTTCCCACTCGATGATGCAGGGTGCTCACGTGGGAGTAAATCACATCCTGGTCTCTAAGTCTTGTGATTACCTTCTACAAGACGGATAAACACTATTCTGAGCTCTGACCACAATGGGACTAGGGCAGACCTAGGCAGGGGCTGTGGCAGGGAAGTGCTGAACCCCCATATCCAGCCTGGGCACAAAATGGTGGTAAGTGATGTGAGAAGCAGGCAAGTGCAGAGGCAGAACTTTAGGAAACATTCAGACACTTTTGATGCCCATATGTTAGCCAATACTCGAGCAGTGTTTTTAGGCTCACAGTTCCTGGTGAGTAAACACCAGTTAAATCCTTTCTTTTCCACATGGACAAAAATGCTATAGCACAGCATGTCAGTGTGGAGTGCTGCAAGCCTCTCTTAAGCAGCTACATAGCTCAGTACTGGGGTACCTGCACTGCTCAATACCTGCACTTTCAGCTCAGCAATTATCATTCATTCTCTCCTGGTGTAAGTCCTTCTGAACCTTTCAAGCAGGGTCAAAGCTTGCTTGAGAGGTGAGCATTCCTTAATCAAGGAACTGATTAAGGAATTAATTGATTAAAACAAGTGGCTTAATCCTTGTTTTGAGTTACAGCCTGGCCCAGCCAATACCTGCCCTGCTTCCCACGTGCTGTAGCTGGTGAAGGTGCTCGCCTCCTCTTTTCCCTGCCTGGCACAACATTTTTGTTTGTATCCCCATAAAGCAAAGCTTTGGAGCAGAGTTTTTCCCTGTCTCCCTCTAGTGAGCACTAAGAATAGATATCAGTCTCCTGCTGCTGGGCCTGAGTATGCCCTCTTACCTTGGCCTCAATTTTAGTTAGTCTGTTTAATTGGCATATGTTTTTCAGGATATCAGAAAAGAGTATGCACATATTGGATATAAATTCCTTTGAGGGGCCTTGCTGCTTCTGCTAAAGCTCTTCTGTTCCTTTTGCTCCCAAGATCAAACATCCACTCAGATGGAAATCCTGTGGTCTCTGCAAAGCAATGCTTTATGTGTATTGTTAATGGGTGAGAAAGGCTGATATCACACTAGATCCCTTCATGCTACAGCATGTCTCTCCTGTAATATCTTTTATAGTCATCATAATGCAGTTTAATGAAGATTAACACTCTGATTTTGAAGCAGTTTAAATCTCTGCCCTTTATATTGATTACTCATGGATTCATGGGTGTTCTGCCTGTAGGTGAATCAAAGACCCCATTTTGACATCCATATTTACTGACATGCTTTTAACCCGTGCTTCACTAGCAGACACAGCAATGACCTTGTAGCAGCATTTTCCCATTCTCTATGTTTGCGAATGTGGAAGGTCTCTACCACTCTCACTCAGCATCTTATCTGCAGGCTGGCTGACTGCTGTAACTGATACCAGCCTGGCTGCTGGCGTGGCACTGGTAATTCTCCTTTGGCACCTGTTACTGAGCTTACATATTTCACAGTGAGCCTGCCTACCCCTGCCAGCACTACTGCAGTTCTGATCTGACAGGTCAGTGCCCATCACACTTACTTAGTTACCTCCCAGCCCTTCGTTGCTCCCAGGTGTCAGGATGGAGTTTTCATGGTCTGGTGCAAGCAGAATGAACAGCAAAGAACTAATGCTAACCAAGCTCAATGTGACTTACACGTTCTTTTAAAAACCTTTTTTTTCCCCAATTTCCCCTTTTGCACTCTCTCTTAAGCACTGGGGAGTATTTAAAATGTGAGATCTCTATGTTTCAGCCCTAAGAGACAGAAAGCTGGCCTACTTACACCACTGACTTCAGAAACACAGTTTTTCATTATTCCCTATCTTTTACATCGCAATCCAAAGCCCTCACAGTCCTGAGATCCGTGTATTTCGTACCACACTTCTATCCAAAAAGTTCTTCAGTTTCAAAGGATCTAAAATGTGCAAATGAAACAAAAAAAAACTTGTTCAAACACCTTTTTATTAGTTAAAAAAAAAAAATATTTTGGCACTACCTAGAGATCCCAAGTGCCAGTGCAGAAGGACGTGAGACACAGATCAGTGAGCCTGACCAAAACACTCAAAGCAGAGTCAGGAAGCAGAGAAGAAGACACGCACCCTGGTACACACCTGCACTTTACTTACGATCAGAGGGGTCTGGCTTATATATGTTGTACAATTGGTTTATGAAGCAAGTGAAAGACTACAGAGCTGAATATTTTTGTCTACAGTGAGCGGGATTTTCCTGTTGTAGTGTCAGCTAATATTTCCATGTATGCTCTTGGAATGCCATCTCTTGAGCTAGAAGATCCTAAGTTGATTAATTGCCTTCATTTTCACCCTGTGAGAGAAGACAAACAGGAAAAGAAGTTAAATATTTTCAGTGGAAAACATATATAAATAAGATCATGAGAAAAATCAGTGCTGGTAGTCACTACATAAAACCCCATAAACAGCTACAAAACAACGAGGACCATCTGTGGTGCAGAAAACGAATGAATTATCCATTGCTTCTGGGAACCAGACACACTCTTGCTGTAACTCAGACCTCCAGGGAAAACAAGAGGGTGATTTTGTATGTGGTGGAAGTTGAGTTAGCACGGGGCAGGGCTGCCACTGGCAGAAGCATCCAGCATTCTGCTGTGAGGTCTACCTCCTGCCCCAACAGCCTGATGTGCAGAGGTAAAGTCAATCAGATTTGCAGGGCTCTTTTGGGGACTGTTAGCAGAGGGGATGATGGCTGGCGGAGGGTGGTAGGTGCAAGCTGAGATTTCAGAGAGGTTCAGGTACCATGAAAACAGTCAGTTTCAGAAAACCTGAAAACTGTGGAGTCTGGATACATGCAGTGCTGCAGGGCTTGTGGAATGGGCAGCCAAAGGCTTTAGGACCAAAATCATGAAGGAAATACCACCTGAGAAGCCTTTGTCCCTTTAAAGCATCTATGTTGGCTGATAAGAGGTTGTCCTTCCTTGTTCAAAAGCTGAAAGAGATTGGCCCAGAGACTGACGTCTGCCTCAGGGCTTCAAAAAGATGTTACAGGTAGAATAGGTAAAAAAATAAAGTAATTTATTTAAATAGAGGAAAACCTAAAGAAAAATCTACCTTGTTCTCTAAAGCTCTTTTAAAGCATGGCTGAAACCAGGAAAAAACTATTCCACGTGACACTAAAATCATAGAAAAACATTAAGTATTATATGTGTGTTTCCACCCCATATCAAAATCAGACCAAAGGAGGCAGCAGATCTGTCCAGTCTGTCGCTCATGGCAAAGTTTTGGTCCCCAAATTCAAGTAGCAAGAGTGAAAACTGATGAGCTCAGTTTTTTGTCATGAAAGCGGGAACACTGGCGGGCTCCACATGTGGCAGCTCTATAACCACAGAAGGCAAAGGGAAGAACACCGGAAAAGCCCATGTGTGCTCTTGAGAGCCTGGGGACTGTGGGAAGTCCTGGCCGTGGCATCACCTTACCTCTCCACCACCTCCTGTGCCAGCCACATCTCCTGCCACCTCCGGCTGCTCTGGC